TAAACTAATCTTCTTGTCTTTGGTTACTACCTTGAATCCATGCAAGACTATCTCTAATTCTTTTAATGTGATTACCCATTTCTTTTAAACCGGATTTAACTATTAAATTGATTACATGACATGCACAACGTTGGTGGAAAATAGTACCGTCACCGAATAGACTTAAATCATTTTCAAAAAATTCAATTGCTTTTGTATTGGCACTAGCATTATCTAATGTTATAGCCATTACTTTATCTCTTAAACTAAATTCATCAATTACATTTAAAATTGTGTTATATATTAAATCTGCGCTATGTGATCCTAGAACACATTTAAAACCTAATATTCTCTTATCTAAATCAAATCCTTTAAAGTAATGTCCGGTTACAGCTAAATAATCTTTATTGGCAATGGCAGACCAAATATCTGCCGTTAACGCAACGCACCCGCTAGTCGAGTGTAAAAGGTTTATTAATGCATCTTTTTCTTTTTTAAATAATTTTAATAAATCTTTTCTAAGAGTAGTTTTTGAAGTGAACTGTGCATTAGGATTGTGTACAACCTTAATATATCGTTGCCAATTAGGATGCTCTACAAAACTAAGTGGTTGATCTAAAGCAGCTATCATTCGCGCAACTTCCATACGATCTTCTTGCGGATCGTATTTCCAAGTGGTTAGACCACCGGTTGCGCGATCAAAAGATAATTGTGTTTGGCGGAGTTCGGGTCCGCTAGATTGGCTAAGCTTTTGAAGACACTTTTCAGAGTGTCGTCTCAAGTGTGTGGTGCCGTGAATAGTGTCGCCTTGTAATTTAGATAAACAATATTTACACTGAGCTATATGTTTAGTGTTACCTTCATTATCCACCTCGTCAATTATGTCGAAGTGATCCCAAACTGTCGAGGTACGCTTGCATTTTCTCCTGGAGGTTGCAACACTTGCCGACGCAGACGCAGACGCAGTCGCACTTGCTGCCGCTTCTCCACGCCCACTATTGCGACCACGACCTCCAGTACGTCCACCATGGCTTGGATTAGTAGATTGCATTTGCTGCGTAACAAACTCATTAGTGGGAAATTGCCCTTCTTCTACATTGTGTTGGGCATCAACGGGAATACCACTATAACCAAAAGGATCCATTATAAAAAAAATAAGATGAATTTGATAGACACTAGAGAGAGAGCTTTAGAAAAATTGTGAGAGAGATTGAGAGAGATTGAGAGAACTTGAAAGAGATTGAGAGAGATTGAGAGAGATTGAGAGGGATTGAGAGAGTTTGAGTGAGAAAAATGTGTGAGGGATGAGGGGTATTTATAGGGAAATTTTGGGGTTAAAAAATGATTTTTTTTCAAAAAAAACGGGATAAAACGGCTAGTTTTTTGAAATTCGGGTTCGGGTAGTCGGGCAAACTCGGGCAGTTCGGGTTTTCGGGCAAAATTAAAAAAACTAGCCGTTTTCGGGCAAATCGGGCAATTCGGGCAGTTCGGGCAACTCGGGTTTTCGGGCCGAATTCGGGTAAAAATTCAAAAACCTAGTCGTTTTCGGGTAATTCGGGCACCTCGGGCGGGTCGGGCAAGTCGGGCAGGCGGGAAAAATTCGGGCAAAATTCAAAAATTCGGGCTTCGGGTCGGGCAATTCGGGCACACCCAATTTTCGGGCAATTTTCGGGTCGGGCAGTTCGGGCTTGGTCGGAAAAATGCAAAAAAATCCCGGCGGACGGCGGTATACGGTGGTTAGACGGCGGCGGGCAAGGGTGGACATGTCAAATCCGGGCTGCCCGAGCCCGAACCCGAATTTCTTGCTTGGACGGGCGGGAATTGGGCCGGCCCGCCCGAGCCCGAAAAAATTCGGGCTTCGGGCGGCCCGCCGACCCGAAGTTCCAGCACTAGTCACTGTGAATAACCTAGCTATTCCCCAATCATTAAGGCAAGCCAAAATCTTTGTGTAACTGTTTCTCCTTTATGATTCAGAACTTGGATGAAATGAATGATCATTTTCTGCATATTCCATTCTTCATCTATCCAATGAGCAGTCAAACACATATAATTGATGTTCTGAATTGATGTCCAAGTATCAGTCGTCAAACACACTCGTTGTTTTCCCAATACCTTCTTCAACTTCTTCTTCCCATCCAAAAACATATGGTAGACATCCCTCGCAATTGTTATCCTTGAAATGTCAAACACTCTCGGATTTAAGTATGCTAAATATCACTTAAAACCTTTACCTTCCACGTGTCAGAATGGTAACTCATCCAATACAATATACTCCGTGACGGCTCTCTTATACCCTTCCTTAGACCAATCTCTTAGTGTCATATTACTAGTAGCAGTGTCCTTATCATATACGTCGGTCTTCTTAGTAAATTGGTTGGTCTTTTGTTTGTTTTCATTATTTGGATTCATCAACAACTTTGTATATGGTTCTTCATTGTAGACGTGCCATTCTTTTTCGAATCAGCGGCATAAGTGGCGCCGCAATGCTTGCAAGTAGCCCTCTTACTTTTTTCGTCCCTCGTGAAATGCTGCCAAACCGGGCGCACTTCTTTTTCTTAGTACCTTTTCCCTCTTCCTCAGTTATCTCTCGTGTTTCAGTAATTTCTCTTTCATTTTGAGTAGACTGAGACCCTACCTCTTGTTGATTTTCTGATGAAGACATCAACAAGAATGAATTTGCCTAAGATTACGTTGTCTAGTTAAGACGAGAGATTACGTTGTCTACTCTATAAAATAAAGCCCTAACAATTTATACATTAACCATATTATTGATAGTTTTAATTTGGTCGAGTTTTAAATATTAATTTGTGCAATCTTAGAATCTTTCGGCTCTGTAAATGTCATATGAAGCAAATTGCAGACATCTTAAATTACCAAAATCCAAAGCAAAATTGTACCAAATCAAACCAAAATTCAACCTGATCCAGTGACCCTAACGGCCTAACCAATTACTCTTACTTTGTAATTGGTAGAACCAATTAACCAAATATCTTGCCTAAATGAACTTCAATAGTTGGAATGGAGAAACAAACTAAATCAGAAAAAAAAACAACTAAGTGACTAATATCTTGCCTAAATGTCTTGGACTCTTGATGATTTGTGAGGCTCGGCAAAAACATACTACAGAGGACTAAGGAGTTCAAGACTTCAAGTAATTACTAATTAATTAGATTAGAAATTTAAAAAAATGGTTCGGTTCGGTTTTTAGCCGAACATTAAAGCCATAATCAAAACCGAACCGGAATTACACCACCATACCGAATTGAATTTCTTCGATTCTATGTGGCGCCGTATTTTTTAGTTTCTTCAATTATTATCGGTCGGTTTCAGTTTTACGATTTTTTTGTAAACCCTAGGTGGGGTTTAGGGTTGAGGAAAAATCGACGGTTTAGGGCTTTAGGACTTTCCATCTTTCCGTTGTAATAATTTTGCGGAACGCAACTGCAGTCTCCGCAACAAATTGCATTTGCCATAATGCTTTTGCTTTTGCTGCTCCTCACCACCTAAACCACCAACGAGGTCTCTCTCTCTCTCTCTCTCTCTGTTTCCTCCATTTTTGTTTTTTTGTGGGTGGTGGTTGTTGTTTTTTTTTTTTTTTTGTTTTGGTTTAAGAAGAACAATTTTTAGGGTTTTACGCCGCTTTCAGCGCTTAACATTTCGGCCCCAACCAAGCCAAACGTCTGTCACTGTGTCTTTGAGGGTTTTCTTTTCTTTTTCTTTTTTTTTTTTTTCCTGCATCTCTCAGTTTCCTCTGCTTCTTCTCCCTCATTCACTACGCCAATGCTTTCACTTCCTTGAACCTTTTTTTTTTTTTTTTTTTTTTTTTGACTTTGTGATTATCCAATGACTGCCTTATGTTCAGCCCTCCCTTTGTTTTCTGATCAAACCAACGCATTCGGAAATTAGTTCTCTTCTCAAAGTTCTTTCAGAACCCTAAATTTCGAAGATAGTTTTAGGCGATTAACTTATTGGACGAGTCAAACGATGTGTGTGTGTTTTATGGCCTGGTAATCATTTAGCTTAGACAATAAATTACAAGTTGCACATGCATTAGTCCGTGGCCATGGCATAATGTTTAATTTAATTGTATAATTGGAATGAAACATTACACTAGACTACAGAGACATGCTATGGTCTCTTGAACTTGAAGCAGTTGCAAAAAGCGTTTGAATTGGTTTTGAATTTGATACAGATACTACCGTTACCAACCAAGAACTGAGAATATGACAGGGCGGGGCGTTAGGCATACTACTACCGTTGTGATGCTTAGCCAGGCTGAGCAGCAGCAGCAGCAGCAGCAGCGTGAATACGAGGATAAGAAGCCTTTACATGAAGACGCAGCATCTCGGCTCGTGAAAACCGAGCCTCTTCAAATACCCGAATTTTCAAAGAGGAAGCGCCTTGACCAAACTCAACTTAAAGAAATGAAAGCAGCCTCTCTGCACGGTAAGAGGAGTTGGAGTAGCTGCAAGCGTCGCTCAAAAATCCAAGTCAGATGGTCTGATGAGAGGTAGAAAAAAGACTTGTGATTATTTGTTATGCATTCACCTTTTTGCCAGGTGATGGTTTCCGGTCATGCTCTTTACTTATAAGCGTGCAGGTATAAGCTGGCGGAGCAAAGCATGTTGGAGATTTTGAAGGCTGAAGGAGCAACATTTGAGAATCCCATAACCAGACCCGCACTCAGAATGGCGGCTCGTAAATGCATAGGCGACACGGGTCTGCTAGACCATCTACTGAAGCACATTGATGGAAAAGTCGCGCCAGGTGGGGCTGAGCGTTTTCGGCGCTGGTTTAGCCGCAATGGAATCATGGAGTACTGGCTTGAGAATGCTGACCTCGCTAACATACGACAGCAGGCCGGTGTGCTGGATCCATACTGGATTCCACCCTCAGGAATAGGGTTGAGGCCATATGAGGATTCTGTTTCTGCTGAAGAAATGAAGCTGCTTAAGGCAGAGCTGAACAAAATGAAGAGGTAGTTGAACAATGATGCTTCAGTTCCTTAGAAAATACTGTTGATAATTACTCATGCCTTTTTCTAAGTTGCTGCTTCTGCATATAAAGTGATATGCAGGAGCTGTTGTCAAAGAAGAAAGAGCAATCTCAAGGCAATCAATTTGGGGTAAGTAGCTTTAAAACCCCAATTGGTCCGTAAAGCTTCTTATATTTTTTCTTGTAAAAATAGAAGATATAAATCACATTAATTCCACCAACAGTCTTTTGTAGAACATGATTTGAGATCACTCCTTTTGCTTGCTAAAACCCAATTGCTCTATGCAAAACACTGGCAGGAAATGTTCAAGGAAATTGTGAAGTGGAAAGTTGAGACTGATCAAAACCTGAAAGTGATTTTAAGTTCTTGGAAGAGCATGCAGGTTCTGGAGTGTTTTTCTGTTGAACAGAATGGTGTATTGTGTGTTTGAATTCCATCTCATTTGAATCTACTTTCTCTTTACCTAACAGGACATGTATGAGGAGTTATTTGCTTGGAAAGCCGAACTCGAGCAACAGCTGGCAGATATCAGAAGTTTGCTAAGTAGTACACAGGAAAGCAAGCAACATCCTGCCTCCAGCACTCGAGTTTCTGAAGGATGGGAAGATTGGTTAGAAAGCACGAAGCTGGATGATGTTGTTCAGGGAAATGAACTTTTACCTTGGTTTGATAGCACCGACAACCTGGTTAATGTCGAACAGGAGGTTGTGATGCAAGATCCTTTCTCATCGCTGCCCCTTTCATTTCAGCCTGGCGATAGCCCATCTCAGGGCTCGGGTTTTGCAAGAGAGCTGGAGCGAATCAACAAAGATATGATGAATTCAAATAAGTAAGTAAGCTGCTAGTCTCAATCTTTTCAAGAGTTTTTTAATTGAAAACTGTTGCGAATAATTGATTTCTAAGCCATATCCATTGCAACCACAGAGATGACCAGGAGTTTGTACTCAAGAATCCAAGGGAAGATCATCATGTCAATGTTACCCCAGATTCTTCTACAACTGTCAATTCGTGGTCTGATAACTCACCTTTTAAGTGTCAGGTAATAGTATTGCTTTGCGGTTTTCTTCTCAATAAGCAATTTTTGTAGTCTTATTTGCCCTTTTTTTTTTTTTTTTTTTGGTGGCAGGAAATGTTTCTAGAGTTGTTTAATTGGAAGGCTAAAATGGAACAGAAGCTGAATGAGTTATCTAAATCTACCAATATCATTAGGCAGTCATCAAAACCTTAAAACCCCTTTGGGGGGCGCTTCATCTTCTAGCTCTAGAAGAAAGAAATCACTAATCAGTTTTTTTTTTTTTCGTTCCTAGATTAGAGAACCTTAGTCACCTTAAGTAGCCTAGGATTCAGATCTTCTTCTAAGTTGCCTTAAAACATGATGCCTCAACTTCAAATGCAACCACTAACTAGTACTAGTAGGATTGAATGGTTTAAAACAAAAGCTAAATTATCAACTATCTGACATTATGGTTTAACTTTATCAACTATCTAAAAGCTAAATTATGTTTTGGTAACTCTTGGTGAGTTGAACTTGTGAATGTTTTTATTTGTTTTTGTTTTTTTTGGAGAATTGAGAATGAGTATGTGTATAGAAGTAAATTTTTGTCCTTTGAGACATCGTAGTAATATCGTTCGGAATTTTGATGGTTAAGTTATTGCAAGCTGGTCATTGTTAGATCATCTTTTTTCTTCCCCATCACCTTCAGTATATGATTTTGAGTATAGCTCAAGTATTAAGTGCCTACTTTTTCTGGACTTGGACCTTAGTTTGACTCGGTTTTTTTGCCCCCTCCCCCTGAAAAACGAAATTTATAGGCAGTTCTTTTCTTAAAGTAATTTATATGAAGTTTTAGTTGAAGAAAAAAAGAGAAGAAAATTATGTGCAGTTTCCAAGTTGTGGTGTTTTTACAAACTAGAATTTGATTTGTCAATGAAATTTGTTTTGGATTACTGTGGGATGAGTTTGTGTTTATTTGAACATGTGAAACTCCTACTCTTTATCTTGCTTTCCTTTTTTTTTTTTTTTTTTTTTTTTTTTTCCATATATGAGCACTATATTTGTAACTGTATAATTGATCAGATTAATGTTTAGAAATACATGGTACCAGTATGCATGCTCTACTCTACTTCTACTATATATATATATATGTATGTATGTATGTGTATAATGCTTCTTTTCTTATAAGCAAGCAAAGTAATAAGTAATGAAGTATCAAGTTCTTAGTCACGGGAACGGGGTGGGCCCAAAAAGCAAGATGCAGTGGATCCTACAGCAGATTCGAAATATTCTCCTCTCTGCTATTGCACGTGTGCGATCACGTGCATTAAGCTTTTTTTTTTTTGGAGAAAAAATTGTGCATTGAACTTTTAGTTAAGGAACATGTATACCCTGATGTCTTTTATTATGCGTTTCTCGAGAACTTTTAGTAGTATTTATGCAAAGTTTGTCGGTCTGTCTCAGAACTAAAGAGCGAGGGGTGCACCACTACATTGTTTTTTATTATTGTTTGTTTTTTAAAATCTTTTTCACGTCTTTTAATATACGGAAAAAAATATTTACAAATTGTATTTATTTAGTAAATATTTTGAAAATAAAAATAAAAAATAATGAGAATAATTTTTTAAAAGAATTAAAAAAGGGTTAAAAATTATTTTTATTTTTTAGTACTTATTAATAATATTATAATATATTAATTAATAATTATAATCAAATAGGATTTTATTTTTTATTATATTTAAAATAATTTTTTTAAAAATTAATCAAATGTAATTTCAGAATTGATTTTAAAATAATTTTTAAAATAATTTTATTTTTATTTTTGTATTGAAAATAAAATTATTTTGAAAATGTTACTAAACGGCCTATAGTTTTCAAATTTTCCTGTTAATTTGTGTACTAGTTGTAGTGGATTGGGAAGGTTTAGTGCGTTAATTAATTCCATTTTTATTGTTTGGTAGGGAATTTTTTTTAGAGAACTTAAGAACATTATTCTTATAGCTATTATTTTCTTTTTTCTCAGGAAACAGAAATTAGCTTTTCATTGTGGAAAGAATTTTTCAATAAGAGACGTTTAGTTTATATATTCAGAATCATAATTTAGAATTATTTTCAGTTTATGTAAAAAAAATATTATAGTGAATCACGAATTATGATTTAAATCATGACACGAATACTTATTTTAAACGCACTCTAAACGACCTTCAAATATCCGTTAGTTTATGAACGGTTGTGTACAAGTAGCATTTAAAAGTGAGCTTTTCACATCGAAAAGGCTAAAATACCGTTCTTTTACAATCATCAGGAAAGTAAAAAGAAAAAATGAGGAAAAAGAAGTTTAAGACGGATCGGATAAAAAAAATGGTTAAAGAGCCAAATCTATAATAATACACCATTTCTAAGTTAATTCTTTGTAATTCTCCGTCGTGTACCAAATTACACATGATAATTTCATCTCCATACTAGCAACCTTGGTTGCATAATGAAGTATGAGAAGTTATGAATTTGATGGGGTGAAGAGTTAACCGCCGACAACATGAATTGGCAGATTTGGGGCGGCCCTTGGGCGATGAGTTGGTGGATCTGATCGCTGTTAGGAATAAGCACTGATAAAGTGCGTCGAAGAAGCGCCGGCGCTCGCTAAAAGAATTATTCCCGTATGGTTAACAAGATGCTAGGTTGGCGACGAGCTTGACTGAGTTGAACTTTGTCAGATCCACCGCCAAATCCGCGTCGCCGTAAACCAAAATCTATCACGGATCGCCGCATTCCGAGCAGCTCTAGGCATGTCGCACAGTTCCCTCGCGTGAATCCCCCATTGAAGCACCCCCAATTATTCCCAAGATCATTGTACTTATTTATTATTATTATTATTTTGTGTTTTACATTATGGCTTTCTGGGTACTTAAAATTTCTCAACTCTCTTGACACACCTAACCTTGGATGTTGCCTACGTTTATGAATGAATGGAAATGAGGAAGGAATTAACATGGGTGAGCATGTAAGTTTTTTTTCTTTCGTCTGTTCTTCTCCACTTTGATGAGTGTGTACATGTGGAATCCTTCTATACTTTTTTGTCTTGTTCGCTTTGTAAATTCGAGTTGAGATAGCGATATTTTTTGAGAACTTTTAATTATAATTGAAAAAGTTAGATGTGATATTTTTTAAGAGTTTTTAATTATTAAAAATATAAAATTAAAAACTCGAATCGATAAAATGAACGAAACCGTAATGATTCTGTCAACAACGGCTTCAGTATGGTACTGGAATTTGTAAATTTAATTATAATGGTAAGATATATGATAAATGATCTATTTATGATCCGAATGCACATAAAATCATAATACATAGGATGCGTATTTATTATAAACTTCTTTTTTTTTTCCGTAGTTCAAAGAAAGAAAAGAGACGGAGAAAAAAATAAAAAAATAAAAAGAAAGAAAAAGAGAATATTGGCTCTGACTCTGAATTATCATACTTTAGACCCGTTTAATTTGATGATTCGAGTTTTTAATTTGAGATTAGATACGACTTTATATGAGAGTTTATAACTCTAGTAAAAAAGTTAGATATGACTTCTTCTGAGAGTTTTTTACTGTAACAAAACTCAAATTTTAAATTTGAATCAGTAAAATAAACGGGACCTTTGTTTGCCATGGACGGTCGTTTGGATTTTTTTTTTGTTTATTTTTTTTTCCAACTATGCTCTCTACGCTCCCCTCTCTATGCTAGATATAGAGATATGAACTTGATTACAGTTTGAATTTTTGATTTTTTTTAGATTGCTTTGAGTATCTAATTTGTTGATTTTTTTCTATTCGTGGATCTGGGTATTAGTTCTTACAGACATATTTTTCTTCTCTTTTCATGTGTTTTAGTTTTATTTTTTGTTAAAAATATAAGTTGATGTTATTTTATATCACATGCACTACACATGATCATTTTTATTAAAAACTTGACGGATTTGAATGGAAAGGGTTTAATTGTCAAAGTTTAAAGAGTTTGGGGACTATTTTATCAAAATTAAAAAAATGAGACTAAACTGTCACATATTAAAAAATTTGGAGACTAATGGTGTCAATTACCCAAAATTGAAAGTTAACTTTTTTTTTTTTTTTTCTAATTATGGTCCCGCTTTTTCTTTACTTTTTTTTAATTTTTTTTTTTTTTTTTTTCTAGCCAGTGCAGTGCGTAGTGGTATCTCAATAATTTTAATGGAATAACTTCTTAAATGAAATATATTTATTTTTTTTTGGTGGGATTGGAATTTTTGGTGGTAACTGGTAAATATTAGAAAGCCAAGCCACCGAAGCCCTTTTTTATTTGAAAATATCAAAATACCGAATACTGAAATGAATGAATTGAAATGACGCGGAGAGGAGAATGGGCAAAAAAGCAACAATAATGATGATGATTAATAATAATAATAATAAATGATCATGTGTAGGAAATGAAAGGAGGCACGAGAGGAGAGAATTGGATGAGCCAACCAAGGAAGAGTATTTCAATCCTCAAAAGTCTTTGCTGCAGTTGTACACCTGGATATTAGAGAGGCAGAGATAGCGAGAGCGAGCTATTAAAAAACAAAAAAAAGGAAAAAGAAAAATTAAAACTGAATTTGGATATTAATTGCAAAAAAGAATCGAAAAGGAGAAAGTGACTAGGAAAGAGAGAGAAAAAAAAGAAAAGAAAACGAAAATAAAGACCGATAATTATATATTTTGATCCGTTCACTTCGCTGATTCGAGTTTGTAATTCGAGTTGAGATGTAATTTTATGTGAGAATTTTTTACTGTAGTAAAAAAATTAAATATGACTGCTTCTGAAAACTTTTTACTATAACAAAACTTAAATTCTAAACTCGAATCGACGAAATAAACGGATCTTATAATTGATTGATAATATTTGTGTCTGGAAGGGAAAGCAAGGCAACCCTTCTGAGAACTTTTTACTATAACAAAACTTAAATTCTAAACTCGAATCGACGAAATAAACGGACCTTATAATTGATTGATAATATTTGTGTCTGGAAGGGAAAGCAAGGCAACCAACAACTAGTACTACTGGGAGGAGTTCCAGGAAAAAAAAAAAAAAAAAAAAGTAAATAATAGTCAAGAGTGGTTTTGTGAAAGCCTCCCTTGCCTTTCAATAAGCAATAAAAGAAAGTCTTTGAAGATAGATAGAACGGAGAAGAGTTTCTTTCTTTCTTTTTTTTTTCTTTGTCTTCTTGTATGATAAGGCGATTCCTAATAGAAGAAGAAGAAGAAGAAGACGACGACGACGACGACGACGATCGTCAATCAAGCTAAACAATCAATCGATGGAAGCAGAGAAGAAAGAGAAACCGTCTTCATCGAATCCTCCTCCGCCTCCGCCTCCGCCTCCTGTGGGTTGGGTGCTGCCGCACAGAACCCAAAATGTGAGAGAAATGTACAGTCTCGGCAAGAAGCTAGGGCAAGGGCAGTTCGGCACCACCTTCCTCTGCACCGATAACTCCAGTGGGTCCCGCTTCGCCTGCAAGTCCATCCCGAAGAGGAAGCTCCTCTGCCCCGACGACTACGACGACGTTTGGCGCGAGATTCAGATAATGCACCACCTCTCCGAGCACCCCCACGTCGTCCGCATCCGGGGGGCCTTCGAGGACTCGGCGGCCGTCCACCTCGTGATGGAGCTCTGCGACGGCGGCGAGCTCTTCGATCGGATCGTCCGCAAGGGCCACTACAGCGAGAGAGAGGCGGCTAAGCTCATCAAGACTATTGTCGGAGTTGTGGAGGCCTGCCATTCCCTCGGCGTCTTCCATCGGGATCTCAAGCCTGAGAACTTCCTCTTCGATTCTGCCGACGACGACGCCGCTCTTAAGGCCACTGACTTTGGCCTCTCTGTTTTCTACAAGCCCGGTGGGTACTTACTTAGTATTCAGCATGTACTCTCTGTCTCTCTGTCTGTCAAATGATCAAATGATCAAATGATCAAATGATTATTTACTGCTATATATATATCATCATCATCAATTGATACAGTGAATCATCAAATAAAATAAAATTCAATAGGTGAAACGTTTTCTGACGTTGTTGGGAGTCCGTACTACGTTGCGCCGGAGGTGCTGCGCAAGCATTATGGACCCGAAGCGGATGTTTGGAGTGCTGGAGTCATCTTGTACATCTTGTTAAGTGGTGTCCCTCCTTTTTGGGCTGGTAAATACCCTTTTTTTTTTTTTTTTTTTTAATTAACTAACCTGTTTTCTTTCCACTTTCTGCGTTTGTCTCTGCTTTTGGCTTCAACATCACCAATTTACCAGTTCACATGTCATAATGACTGATTCATGAATATGATTGATTACCTCCAGAAAGTGAAATGGGCATCTTCCGACAGATACTCCAAGGAAAACTTGATTTTGAATCTGAACCGTGGCCTTCTATTTCTCAAAGCGCCAAGGATCTCATTCGCAAAATGCTCGACCGCAACCCCAACAAAAGGCTCACTGCCCACCAAGTCCTTTGTCAGTACTACTCACTCACTCACTCACGCCTCTCTCCCTCTCTTTTCTCTATTCATTTACTAATCCTAATATCCTGCTATTCATTAACATCCGATCGAGTGTTCTGTTCTTGTCTCAGGCCATCCCTGGATTGTAGATGACAGAATTGCACCAGATAAACCTCTTGATTCTGCTGTGCTTTCACGCCTCAAGCAATTCTCTGCTATGAACAAACTTAAGAAAATGGCTTTGCGCGTAAGTCTTGTGTTTAATTTAATTTAATACATTCATTCATTCGTTAAATACAAGCTTAAGCCTTGGAATATGCACTAAGTTTGCTTCCTAGCCTATAACTTTCTATCATCTTATTGGTGATGGTGAACGCTAAACTCTCAACACAGGCTGTACATTTGCACTGGTGATCCTTCCTTATTGATATTATATTATTATTATTATTATTATTTTAATTTTTTATCAGTATTAATGACCCTGACCTAATTATGTGCAATTAGGTTATAGCTGAGAGGCTGTCTGAAGAAGAAATTGGCGGATTGAAAGAATTGTTCAAAATGATAGACACGGACAATAGTGGAAGCATAACATTCGATGAGCTGAAAGAGGGTTTGAGGAGAGTTGGCTCTGAACTGATGGAGTCTGAGATCAAGGATCTCATGGATGCAGTAATGCCTCACCTAAACCTTTTTTCTTGTCATTTCTACTTTCAATATTACCAATGTTGACACATTTCTCGCTGACTACTTTGCAGGCAGATATTGACAACAGTGGAACAATTGACTATGGCGAATTTCTGGCTGCTACCGTGCACTTGAATAAGTTGGAGAGAGAGGAGAACTTATTGTCGGCCTTCTCCTTTTTCGACAAAGACGGTAGTGGTTTCATAACGATTGACGAGCTTCAACAAGCTTGCAGAGAGTTCGGTTTGAATGACGTCCACCTTGATGAAATGATCAAAGAAATTGATCAAGATAATGTAAGTTTCTTTTAAAAGAAAAAACAGAAAAAGAAAATGCATCATGCTTTTTATGATAGATAGTTCTTCGTATTAAACCAAAGAAAAGTTTGGTGTAACAGGATGGACAAATAGATTACGGGGAATTTGCGGCAATGATGAGGAAGGGCAATGGAGGAATAGGGAGGCGAACAATGAGAAGCAAGATAAATCTGGGGGATGCCCTTGGACTTTCTAACAATGGAGTCTCTGATCTTATTGATTAAACGACATTCAACTTAAGTGATAATGATCTTTTTGATGATGATATCATCTTCTTTTTGAGAATATTGTTGTAATATGGAAAGAAACCATTATTAGTTAATACCCAACGACTTTTCTTCTGCCTCATCTCTCTTTTCATTGCTGAATGGATTGCCATGAGGTAGGTAGGGTTTAAAATTGTGCTCTAATTACTTATTTTCTCAAGAGACAATTACGGAATATCAAGTTGATATAGGATCTTTCTTTCCCCTAATCTATCAAAAAAATTTATGTCAGCATCGTCATTTTAATAAAATAAAGACAATATCATCAGGTTTGATGTGCATATAAAATATACTAAACAAGTTCGAAAGGAAATTTACATCTACGCTACTTGGTAACAAATTTTCGCTCTTATTTATAAATTAAAAAATGACTAAAATTTTGCCAAATTAAACTATAAAAATGATGATTATTACTTTATAGACATACAATTACTACCTTTTAAGAGTAATGCCAATAAAACTTAGTAGAAAACTTTGGATAATAAAGTAATGCATCTTCGTATCAGTCAGTTTAACCAACGTTAAAAATACTGAATTACAATACTTGAGGGCTGAGGAAGAGGGTATAAATTATAATAATAAGAGAATGGGAAAACAAACATAACTGGCTGGTTTCCAGAGATCGAGTAGAGAGCATTATCATTATTAGAGTAAGGAAGAATGTTATGTTCACATTTTACTGGAAACAGCAAGGTACTTAGTATGACGGCCCTGAGCAACGATTTTGCCAGTTTTTTTCTTCCTCAACTCGACACTCACAACACCGATTGCCTTCCCGACACGTAAAGCCTTGGCCTCAACCTCAATTTCCTCCTGAATCCAACAAAAAGCAAAAACCAAACCAATTGCACTGCTTAGTCAACTAACAAATTGCAAGTTCATCAATAGCCGAAAACATAAAAACAAAATACAAATCAAGTAATTGCAATGCATGCAATATTTGGTTGCCGGTTAAATGAAATCTGCAGTGCATTGCATATGGGCATGAATAATATCCCCAGTCAGTCGGTCATGCCGTAGTTGCTGCTCCATCAACTCATTAGTAAACACACAAAGCCTTGATTTTTTGTATTGTATAGTTACAGTTAATAGTTATAGTATGTGGATAAGTTGGATATGAGGTAGCCTGGCCTAGACATTTTATAATCACTCCAACTCCTACTCCAACTAAAGGTATAGGCTATGAGAGGAGAAAGACGGGGGTATGTTAAACACGACTTGGACACCAGTAAAGAAGAGCCGTAGCGCCCAAGTATTTAACCTATAAGACCATAGATCCTACTCCAGGTTTGTTTTTCTTTTACAAAAAACTTTTGACTGCTAACACAATCCAACAAGTCATTAAAAGAAGCAAAAAAAAGGCCTTCCCTTCCATTTTGCTCGTTGCCCAACTGATACAACTTACTCTACCATATTGTTGTAGTCACAAGACAACACGACTCTAACCTAATGACTAATTAACAAAAGAACCACTTCTCTTCTCTTCTCTTATCTTCTCCTCTTCTAGTATGTACAATTGTACAAACCAAACCAAATCATTCTCTATCCACCAATCCAATCACCATTGCTTATGGTCAACACTCATAGTCACGCATAACATTTATTATATCCTTACTAGTATACATAGTAGTAAACTAAACTGCTAACAAAGTAGAAAGGAAAAAAAAAAAAAAAAAATGATCCAAAGAAAGCCGTGGTGCCTGTTTCTTTCGGGCAGGGTAAATGAAAAATCAAAGACTTACACCGGCATAAGCGGCGTCCAAATAGGAAACATTGATCTCGACGGAGACGCCGGTTGTCACCGGAGCTCCGACGGTGTAGATAACAGCCGACCCCACCAAATCCACCAGCGTCGCCGTGGCCCCACCGTGCAAGAAATTACCTTCGTTCTGTTGTTGTTGTTGTTGTTGTTCAAAACAATTCGTTAACAATTAGTCAATAAATGGAGTCCATAATAAATGGATTGGAAATGCAAAATAGAAAAATAGAAAAAGAGGAATACATACGAGGAGACGAGAGGGGACAGTGAAGGAGCAGACGATACGGCCGGTTTCGATAAGGTCAACGCGGAGTCCTTTCATCACTAATCTCTCGAAGAATTTCGCCGGCAGACTTCCCACTGCCTCTGCGTTTTCTTCTCCTCTTTCCAACACCTTCTTCACTTCCTCCATTCCCATTTCTTTTCTTTTTCCTATTCCAAGATAGTTATACCTTGAAAATCAACAATCCAATTTTTGTTACTGATTCTGCTGCGTTTCGTTCTATGTTTTTCTCTTCTCCCTGTCTATCTTAAATTCTTATGCCATTATTACAATCAGAATAATAAAATAAGAAAAAGGGGGTGATATTTGTTCTTTTACCACATCGGCACATCCCATATGGTCCACGTAACATCATCCATTTTCTCCACTTTTTTTTTTTATTTTTACTCCATTTTTTAAAATGGTGTTATTTCGTACAATTAATTTTTAATACAATTTCTGGATTTGGGGGACCTTTTTTCAAGAAAAATTTAAAAAATCAATTAAAAATTTAAAACTAATTCGTTAGGAGTTGAGATTTTGCTCAGGTACGGAGGAATTATCTTTTGTGTTTATCTGTTTGGTTTGGTTGGAGGTGGTGTATACGTTGGGATAATTGCCACATCCCTTCTCCTTTAGACTTGGTGTCATCAATCCCTCGCAAAATCCTGGGGTTTCCTGTGGATAAGAGGGACGTTGTAATTCCATTTCCTTGTGTAGATGGCCATTGGAGTCTAGCCACCATGGCTTTCTACTCAACTCTCTACTTTTAGAGCTTTCTTAATAAACATTTTATTCAACCAAAATAAATAAATAAATAAACGAATTGCCTCATCTATGTTAAGTTATATGCTACCCATATGTACAATTGTACATAACATTTGGAGACGAACAACATAAGGCATTTGATTTTCACCCTTTTTTCCCATTCACATTTCCTTAAATTAGAACAGGGGAAACAAATTAGCAAATTAAAACCCCTGAATCAATTGAGTAACAATTAGCAATACTGGCAAACAGTAGATAATGGATTGTCAACAATAGGTAACAAAGTTCTCAAGAGTGAACTCATTGATAGACAAAATTCTGCGATTCCTACTTATAGGTCGAAATAATTGAGTTACAAGTAACCAACCAAAAAAAATAACAATGTTTTAGCAGGCACTACACCAGCCGCAAAAATCCCCCATTTTAAAACTAAAATGATTTGGACAAAATACCAAGTTTCCCACATTTAAAAAAAAAAAAAAGGTGGTAAAGAATTTGAGACGTTTGAACCTCTGCAAATGCTTTTGAGCCGCCGCCACGCATAGGCATTGTTATAACTTATATGGTCCTCTATTTCCCAACTCACTCAGACATGTTTCTTCTCTAAATTAGCCGCAGCAAGACGTTGTCGCTTCTTCCATGCCGGAATTTTACCCGGGAATACCCACCGCAGCAATCTCTCCCACGAGTAACAAACTAGAAACATCACAAAAGCCCAACCCAATAACTTATTTCTCAATCCTTCTGGCAAAGGCACTAGCTTCAAGCTGTCATTCAAGCCTCTAAACAGATCGGAAGTGATTACTACAAAGAAGCCAACAGCAGACAAGAGGGCATACAAGAAGGGCTTGTTTTCCGAGATGCTCTGGTTGAAGGGATGTCCCATGTAGTTGACAGCAAAAGTAGCCACCTGAAGCATCATGTTCACCATGTATGAAACTGTGTTCACTAGGTTGGGATGAAAATTCGAGTCTGGTTCGATACATTCGTCAGGCATGTATTTCTCTGCCTCTTGCACCGAGGAGATCAAGAAGAATAGATGGATCGCAAACTGTCCTAATAGAGAGAGGAACACATAGGAGCAAAAAATATTGGGGTGCGGTCGTTCGGCTGAAAGGGTCGGAAGTGGGCGGGCATGTGAGATAAACAGGAAAAAGGCTGCAGTAAATACACCACTAATGGTAGCCTGCACGTCACCAAGCTTGACGCCATCCAAATACATGACACTCAAAACATATGCTGTAGCGAGGCAATTGAGTCCGAGTATTTTGAACATCTGGAGGGTGGTCACTAGAGTACTGCGACCCTGGCGAATTATGTCAGTGGTTGGGGCGACTGATGCATGCTTTGCTGTAAACGGCGAGGCCATCGAGGCATCGCCAAGCTTGACAATGGGGGCACGACCGTCGCCTTCCTCATTTAGCTCCTCCATCAATTTCTTTAGCTTTTGCTGTCTCTCTAATGCCAGAGAGTGACGGTTACTAGTTGAGTTGTTGGTAGAACCACTAGATTTACCTGCTGCCTCAGAAGCAGGTTTTGATTTCTTTATCTTTACAGCCTTTCCACTTTCATCTTTAGATGTTTCTGATTGTGAATTTCCCATTTGAGCTGGAGGCACAGCGTTCAATAAGGCAACTCCTACATTTGCCTGAAAAGAGGTATTCAATTTATAAACTCAACTTGCTTCTGATTTTATGCAACAAAATAATGAAAAAGACTTAATAATAATACATATAAGTTATAGTCAGGGGATAACCAGTAATCAACCAGGAATCTTCCGATAGTTATACCTGCTTTAGAGCTCCAACGTCATTGGTTCCGTCCCCACACATCAAGGTTATTCTTCCCACAGTTTTAAAAGTGGTCATGATGAGTTCTTTTTGCTCTGGAGCAACTCTTGCAAATACCTGAAACATCACATCGTTTCAGATATGCATGATAAAAAATGAAGCCAACATCAATACCAGTTCTTCTCTAACATAATATTAGCGTAGAACCTTCACGAATGGAATGACTCGTAGAGTAGAACCGGTCTGCTGCAACATCTCCATGCAGTCACCTCCGATACAGAGATCATGGGTCTCTGATAAAGCTTCAACCTCTTTCTCACTGCAACAAGTTAAATTCATGCTTCTCACTCCAACAACGGACAAAAACCAAAAAACTAAAATAAAATAAAGAAAGATACTATCCAACGAATATCTATCACTAAAATTGAATTCAAAGAGAAAATTGCCAGAAGGATGAAAAGAATATACAAAGGTTTCTGCATCTTTTACTCCTGATTTATTGTAAAAGGATGGACAAACATGGTACTACCTCCATGAAGAGAGTAAACTCAGAAGGCATATTTTTTTTACAATCTAGAAAATTGTAGAATGTTCACAACAGTGAGTTTTTAACATGATTTAAAAAGAGGGGGGAGGGGGGCAATGTTAACGGCAGAAAATGACTTTTACCTGAAGGGAATCCTATCTTTCTCATCTGGAGATACCCACTCGTAGCCTTCACCATTCCTTCCTGGAGAAAGAATCAATGCTGACTTTGATACAATATGCACTTGACTAGCAACATGACAAGCTGTCAACGCTTGGTCACCAGTAATCATCACCTAGGGTCAGATATCTTCGTATTAGGCACAGATTGACATGGAGGGTCTATGCACTATAATCATCACAATCTTCTAATTCACTAGAATCGTGAAGTCAACTGTGCCGCAAAATCTTTCCAATGTTGAGAGTTACATTAAATTGTGAAGTCGACTGTGTCAGAGATTATGAAAAGCTGTTTTCACCAAATATAACCCTAATCCTAAAGGCTAAGGAAATTATAAGTTTCAACTTGTTTCAAAATTTAAGGTCCCGTGAGAAAATACTTTCATTTTAAATTTTAAATCCAAAATATGCATGTGCTTTGTGTGTGTGTGTGTGTGTGTGAGAGAGAGAGAGAGAGAGAGAGAGAGAGCGTGTGCAGACACGTCTACATTAGGTGTACAAGAAGAAAGGCTCTTACCAAGTCATGTGATGAACCCTTCAGTTCAGACAAGACAGTAGCTGAATCTGCTCTGATTGGACAGTTAAATACCTGGAAAGCATGAACACTTAATGATAATAAAAGATGGAAAAGTATCCATTGAACGAAAAGAACCCATTGAACGAAAAGAACTATATTCAGCGCTAATCAAAACATCTAGAAGAATGCAGAAGAGTTCATTGATTACCGCAAAACCAGCAAATGTGAGGCCGTTCTCCACTACTTCCCTGTCCAAGCTTCTAGCTTCGCTGACCTTCACATAATCAACAGAGAATTAATGGCACAGAAATTAATTGAAGCAACCAATAGAGCGTTTGAAAGAGAGATGAGTCACATCGTTGGACAAGAAACAGCAAGCATTTTTTTAAGCAGCAAGAGAGAGAGAGAGAGAGAGAGAGAGAGAGAGAGAAACAGGTATATTATTTTACTTTAGAATCAATCTTACCTCCCAAGTGAAAGGGTCCCTATATGGTTAAGCTTCAAAACCATGAATTAGCTTAAAGTGTTGCAAATTATATTATACAATAAAACTGCTTAATCTGCTGATATACACAACTTGGGGACATCCGAAAGAAATTCAAAATTAGCGAAAAAAGGGGTCCATAATTATGCTAGGATAGTAAGCCCTATAATCGTCCCACAAACCAGTGAAAACAGTAAATACATATAATTGGTTTGATCTCTTTACATAACGATGCAATTCCTAAAAATCAAGATATCATAATAAAGATAACAGGTAGCAAAATGATCCAAGACCTGGGGGAAAAAAAAGCACATCATTGAAGTGAGAGAAGATCATAAGGACTGTAATTGATTCCTTGAGTAAAAATGATAGAGAGCTCTTACTGTCATGTCTGGAAGGGACTTGAACGCAAGAGCCAGAACACGGGATCCTTGCCGTGTATACTTCTTGTAGGTTTCAACATATGATGAAGGAATATCCGTAAGCCTATCCTGAATAGTTTCTGGGGCGCCCTAGATAGAAAAACAATAACACAAACCAATAAAAAGAACACATTTAAAACCAATAAAAAGAACACATTTATTTATTGATACATCGAGCAGGACAGGTGAATATCAGAAAGCATAAAAAAATAAAAATAAAAAATAAAAGAAGCCGTCAGAAACTTGGATCTTATTTAAGAACAAGTTTTAAAAATTGAAGGTTTTTGTTTAATTAAAAGCAACAACAATCCGGCTAACAAAGATAGGTGTGCACTTTTGGTTTCAAATACAAGTCTAACACTGGTTTCAGATAATTCGATTCCAGAGTATGAAAGGAGGATGGGACTTTGACTTCTCATTGTAGGGAACAAAAGACAAGGTAATTGAACTTGTGCTAGACAAATGTATTCTAACAAAGCTGCAAGTTAAATGGAAAAGGATTTTTCTACTACGTTATACTTTGTTCAACTTAACTATAAGGTCAGTGTTTCTTATAAGGATTTAAAAATGTGGTAACCTCAAAGTCTACACGATACAATCAATATAGTGCAGTTTCTTTTCTCTGGGATCAAATATAACCCTGAAAATCCATATTCTCTAGTAAGTGGATCAACTCAAAATGAAAAAACACCAACAGACCTTGACAAAGGCAAAAAATTCCTCCTCAATACGAACAACAACTGCCATTCTTTTCAAGTGTGAAGCAAAATGGTGTCTCTGGACAATCTGAACAGCATGACTACTTCCCCTGCAGTCAATGACATGGAGCAAATATTAAACAAAAAATTATGTTAATCAACATTACTACAAAATACAAACTTTCAGCCTAAAATTTCCCCCGTTTTGACTATTTTATTCAACATACTACACAAGGCCTCAACCCTCAAGGTCTGTAGCATGTTAATGAGTAACCAAGTATTAAAAAACAAATTTTCATATCAAGGAAAAAAATTGTTTAAATCTTGCACCGGTCCAACGTGGATAGAGCTCTAAACACGCCTCTAGCTTTCCCCGAAATAATCTTTAGAAGTTATTTTAAGTTATTTTTAAATCTTTAGAAGCAACTCCGAAATAATCTTTAGAAAACGAAAAGATCCGTCCACTAGCTTTAAATTAGACAAGATCCCACTAGCTTCCTTATTCCGATTTCCACAAAAGAAAGCTTTAATACTACCTCTTTGGCATGGCTTTCTCATCAGATTTGTATGTCCAATCAATCCCCTTAAGTGCAGCCTTCTCAAGAGGATCACCAACCTGTCCGCGAATAGAGTTATATAGCAACATGCTCAACCGCAGGTGTCAAACTTGTAGAAAAAAGAGTAACTAGTTTGCTAGTCTTGGATAACATAAATCTTGCTCTTGATAATCAATAATCTGTGACACTATACTTCATTGTTACGCTTACGAAGTACCATCCTTTTCCGATTAAATTATACATGAACAATGAACTAATCCTGAAGGGCATTGCATTTTTGTCTATGAAAATATTAGTATTGCTCACAACTAAACACGGACTTTATGAAGCATACCAGCCTGTTATCAACAAAAACTAACGCATGACAAGAAGCCAGGATCTCCACCGTGCGAGCAGGCAATTTGGCTGTGTCTGATTCTAAGTCCATACTACTATTTGACCCAACAACACCACAGAACTCCTGGAAAAGAGCAAAAGAACGAACTTACATAGTGCGAGAAGAGCATTCCGACCGGAAAAACCTACTTACTCAATATGAGCGTACCATGTCATCTGATGTAAGTGTTCCAGTTTTGTCAAAACAACATATATCAACCTGCACATAAAAATAAAAATAAAATAAAAAACAAAAACGAGAAAACATAAAAACAACGCATATCTGCAGCATAATAGTCTTGATTTCTCGAGCATACCAGTTTTTAATAATAAAACTGCGTATGGGGAAAAAAATATGTTAGGTATGAAAGTATAACTGCTTTAGGATTATAATAATCAGATTGTTCTATATAATCTCATATAGGACAGGACGCACAGCAAGGACAAAGGTAACTGACGAATGCAAAAGCTACTTATAATCCTACTTATAATGTTTCGCCTACCACAGATAACAATAATCACAAGCCAAAACATCCACAAAACATGAATGTATGAGTGAACTTCCCTCCAAACCCAAAAAGAAACGGAACAAAGAAGTCTAAAGGAGCAAAAAACTAGAACTCAAAAGAAGGCCAACACACCTTCCCAGCAAATGGAATACGGAAAGGTTCTGTGCAGTATATTCCACGCCGTGCCAGTGCAATCAGAGACGTATTCACGGCTATAGATAATTCCATTGGCAGCTCGGGAGGAATTACAGAAGTAATAATGAGTGAACAGCTAAGAAAAAGCTTGTACTTGCTTCTAGTTGGATCCTCTAGCCCCTACATCAATAATGCCGCACCATGAAACAAATAAATCCAAAGTCATATATAACAATCCATTATGTACCTTAACAAACCATTCATTTACCTTTTTGAGAACATAACCAGCAGCTATTACTGCAAATACAACTAAGAACAAGATAAACAGCCCACTTTCCCAGCTATTAGCAGTAACCTGCAATGTAAGTGATGAAAAATAAATCCCGAAACAAGGACACCCAACAGCTATTATGATCACATGGCCATTGATAAACGAAAGATCATAACATATTACCCTCTCCGTAGAAAATAAAATTGTTCGCATCAGTTTTCCTTGACTTGTTTCAAACCCAGTTCTTAGAACAACAGCAACACAGCCACCATCAGAAGTCTTCAGAGGGAAGCTCTGACTCGGATTTTATTTGAAAGGATACAGATGCACATCAGCAATCAAACATAGTAAAGATTAAATACGTGCATTTCTAGTAGCATGAACTACCTTATCTGGTGTATGCTGCAAAATTTTTGTCCCACCAAATAAAACATGGCCTTTGTCTCGCTTAACTGATAACTTCTCCTCAGTTCCTCTACCCATAACTGAAACCTGAATTCATGGTCACGTTATAGATACGTTATAGATATGTGGGGTCAAGAAATTCATCCATCATCCAATTCAATTACAGGATTCCATTTCAGTTTCCGGTGAAACATTATATAGTACACTGCTAGGAAAAACTAACACGATCAACTCAAATTGTGATAAAGAAGTAAACTCATGCAATCTGAAAGGTACATATGCATGCAGCTACATCAAAAGTGAACAAATATAAAACCACGCATGTGGATACCAATCAACATTATAAATTTCTTATATAACCTCATTGACATCGAAACAATTTGGCATTGCAATGTATTGTTACTGTTACCATTTTGTTTTGCTCCCCTGCGTAAAATCACTTTTTTCTTTAGTTTAAGCAATATGCAAATTACTATTGTTTTGAGTCATCTAAGCCCTGATTCAAGTGTTAAGTTATAATCCCAATCCAAACTGCAAAATAAATAACAATAATGACTCCCTGGTATAACTAACACTACAAAGAAAAAAAAAATCCCATAGGGATTTGTTCTTCTAATTTCACCACACAGAAGATCATAAAACCTTCAAAGTAGATCCACCAAACATCAGACACCAAACTTGACCAGCAGGCCCAACACTGAAAACTGAGTGAATCAGAAAAGGAGAACAACCTTCCACTGTGGCGTTGACTCTCCAGTGAGAATTGCTTCATTGACAATAGCACTACCAGCTAATATAAGCATATCTGCTGGTACAGACTTATCCTCTCCAGTTTGACCAGACGAGCGGCCAATGGAGACAACATCCCCGGGCAAAAGATCAGTCCCCGAAAGCCTCACCCACCTGAAAGTTCAATGATAGTCAACACATAGGGCATTAACATAAAAAAAAAAAAAAAAAAAAAAAAAAAAAAATCTGTGCCATTGAGACAACATACTTTCCACAACGATGCACCATTAGTGTCTGGTTATCTACTCTAACGCGTCTCAGCTCAGTTAGCGTCTTTAACCTACTTTTTGCCATTGTTGACTCGAACATAAACAACATGAATAGGCATTAAAAAAAAAAAAAAAAAAAAAAAAAAAAAAAATCTGTGCCATTGAGACAACATACTTTCCACAACGATGCACCATTAGTGTCTGGTTATCTACTCTAACGCGTCTCAGCTCAGTTAGCGTCTTTAACCTACTTTTTGCCATTGTTGACTCGAACATAAACAACATGAATAGTGTGAACAAACTGTAATACCAATACTCATCCAAACACCAGAGCCCCACGCAAAACACCTGCATCAATCATGAAAGTAGCAAAGAGTGACCAACTGAAGATTAAAAGAGGATTATATATCAACAAGAAGAACCTCTAAGCGTGCATCATTGCATGAGAAGAGGGAGAAGGACATTAGTTAGAAAAAACACCTGAAATACAAAGAAGGGTTCCATGCAGTGTTCTTTCAATAATTTTTGGAACGTAGGCTGCGGATACTCAAATCTAAATTGACAAGAGACACCCCCATTAAAAAAAAAAGAAAAGAAAAAAGAAAAAAAAAACTATGCATTAGAAACATTAAACAAACAAATAAAGCATTCGAAATATACAGAGAGGAAAAGGAAACGAAGGTAAAAGAGTAACTGACTCACACATTCCGTCCCCATTTATCAGTGGCTGCAGCAACTTTAGCTTCGGTTCCGTGACCAGTGCTTTTCAGGTAGTATCCAAATGCTTCTTTTGTAGGATAAGGAAGCTTGCAAAAGGTCTCCTTCTCTTTTGAATAGATGAAACGTTGCTTTCTAAAATCAAAGTAAATCTCTTCTTGATCTCCTGAGGATGAAGAACCTCCGAGCTAGAAAAGGCGGAAAACTAAGTTAGAAAGTAAATACAACTAGTATATATAGTATGCTGAGATTAGAAAAACTGTCCATGCGCAAAAACATGTTTGGCGTGATTTATTGAGAAACTTTGCTTCCACTGGTCTTACTCTTAGAGATATAATAATAATTTGGTTTGGTTTGGTTTGGTTCAAAAGACAAAAAGGTTCATCTCACTCAGAAGAAAGGAAATTTACATGTTGGGCAGTCTAAGCGTCCATAAAAGCTGCTATTAGAAATTGAAAGAAGCCAAATGCAAAAGCCCTACTCATTATTATTATTACTACTATTGCTGTTCCTTCTATTCTAATGCATTGCCAACTCCTCAACTATACTTTTCTTCATTTAAACTAACTGTCTCCTAATATTAATAAATTATATTATGTTATGCAGTTCAGTTCTTAGGAAGAATTGATTTAGTTACTCGATTGCGGAAATGAAGTGGCACGACTTCTTTAGAACCGGAGAATTTAGCCGGGGTTATTTTGCAGGCATCCGCTTCATGAATATCATTAACCTGCAAGTGCAACCAAAAGATGGAGAATATCATTATCATTAACATTAACATTAACAAAGTGAAGATAGGAAAATATCATTTTTTTTTTTGTTTTTTTGTTAATAAATGAATGTTAGTCACTACCCTACCTTAGAAAAGTGGACGAAACAATTGAAATCAACGGACCAAGCCGTGAAAAGGAAGACCAGAATGTGAAGGGAAAGAAAAGCAGCAACAACAATGCAAGCGTCGACAAAGTCTAAGGAAGGAAGAATGGTGGTCATCCAAACTCCATAAATTATGGCGAACGGCCAAACATCCAAACGCCATCCCCACTGCTTCTTCCTCAACAATTCAACTCTTTCCATCACTTTTCCTCCAACTTCGTATTTCAACATCTTTCCCCTTCTGCCTCTGCCTCTGCCTCTGCCTGCCCATAATCAATCAATTCAATCAATATGGATCCATATTCATTCTAATCTAATTTCTTTCGTAGCGGAAAAAAAAAAAGAAAAGAGAATTGAACTTTCTCGGCAACCAAACATACATCTAAAAAAACTACTACTCAGATTCGTAAGTGAATCAACGAAGAACTAAATTAGTAAAAATTAAAAATAATAATAATAATAATAATAATAACAATAACAATAATAACAATAATAATGAAGGAATTACCTTTGTTTGTCGGTGTAATCTGAAGAGGAGGAGTGAGGACTGGGACTGGGAAAGAAACGAGGAAAGGCAAAGCAAAACTAACCTCGTTTTGGAGGACTCACTTGAAGAAAGAGAAAGGGATCCTCTCCTCTCCACTCCTCGAGCCTTTAGGGCCTGTTCGTCCGTCTCTTTCACTTAACATCGTTTTCAAACACTAAACCCTTGATATGAAGTCGGTCGGCAAACAGCCCCTACATCATTTTCTTCCTTAGGAAATTAAAATAAATAAATATTGTAGAGATATTATAATTAAGCTTCGTTCATTTCACCGATTTAAGTTTAAAATTCGAGTTTTATTACGGTAAAAGCTCTAAAAAACAGTCACATTTAACTTTTTTATTATAGTAAAAAGCTCTAAAAAACAGTCACATCAAACTTTTTTGTTATAGTAAAAAGTTCTCATATAAAGTCGCATCTCAACTCGAATCAGCAAACTAAACAAGCCCTAAGTTTGAGATTTTAGCAGAAATAATATTTTTTTTAAATATTTTTCACAAAGAGCTGAAGTTTTATAAAATTACAAAAAAAAAAACCATTTTCATTAACTTAGTGGTTAATCATTAATTGACTTAACGGTCATTAGCGATCAATCACTGATTGATTCTAATTTATCACTAATTAATTGAATTATTCTTTAATATTAGTTAATAATGAACCAAAATCAATTAATACTTATTCAATATCAATCAATAAATTACATGTGTTATTAATGATAAATTATTAACAAATTAATAATAAATTGGTCAATCATTGATTGACTGTGGGTCAATCACTAATTGACTGCGGTCTATAGATTAATCATTGATCGACTCATGTAAACAAAACGGTAATTTTCATAAAATAACAAAAGTTCAGCCGCGGGAGAAAGCTTTCAAAGGCAAGTGGTGCTCGCTAGACAAGGTCTCTAAGAAGATTCTACACAATGGTGACATCGTCAAGGAGGGAGTCATTGAGTATGTAAAACCGATTGGTGTTTTGTAATCTTTTAATCTTAGTGGATTGTTCACTGTCTGGGCGTGACCCCGCAGATGTAGTTGTGTCCACCGAACCACGATACCATTTTTAGTGTTTTTTATTTTTTTCAGCATTATTTTCTACACGTTTAGTTATTTGTTGCTGAATCTAGAAATATCTATTAATCACTAGTGTTACTGAAAGTGTTATAACACTCTTTGTAACACCAGCTGTAAAATCAAACATTTCAAGGGACATAACGGTCACTTTTTTATTGTTTCGATATAAGAAAGTACTGCAAAATAAGTTAGATTATACTTATTTTAATTGACACACAAAGAAAAAATGTTCAAATTTAAAGATTAAATATGTTGATACTTGGATTTTTAAGGAATTATGATGATTTATTAGGAAAATAAAATAAAATGGATGGCTAGGATCAAGCGAAAGCAACATTAGATCCCACAGTGGAAATTAAAAATGGTGTCATTTTCATTCCATGTTCAAAATCATCACTTAGAGTGTGAAAGTTAGAAGGAGAGAGCTAGAGAGAAAGAGAAAAATAGCAGCAGAAGAAAAATAATTTCCAAAATATTTAGGTAGAAACATCACTCCTAAATCTTTCGTTATGTTTTTCTCATAAATTATAGTTACCTTCATTAAATTAGGTACAAAACAGTGTTTATAATGCCTATACTCTTAGAGTGATTATTTGCTTAATTTTATAAGGAGGCGACCATATTTAAATTCGATTGTGAGAAATATCGAGTTGTTCTATGGTGTCATAATGCTAAATTAGAATTAGAAGTTTTTGTTTCTCTAAGTAGAAATTCTATTAAATTAAAATTAAGATAATAATAATTCTAATGGAGACATTCCGTTAAAATAAGACGACAAATTTTTACCACAAGTTAGGAAATAGCAATTTAGATTTCCTACGAGTATTTTGAAATGACAAAGATGATAATGAAGTTAACGAAGTTGGTTAGATAATATGAAGATGTGGTTAAAAAAGGCCACCCCGTACAATTTTCCTTAGTTTTATGTTAATTTTAGTTTTAAGGGTTAATGTCATTTTTTATTTTTGCAATGGTTTTTTCGGCATTTCGTGAGATAGTATCATTTACAAGTGTTAGATTACTGATCATAAGCAATTAGTGGAGAGGCAGAGTTTTGGTAAAAAGTTGTTCATACCTTTATGATATAATAAGCGTGGTATTTATAAAGTATTTTTATATCCGAGTAGTGGTTGGATCCTACTCGAAACCCGGAGGTAATCCAGGTGAAAGTTGTATCGATCATATGGCACGTGACGCTCCTTATAACTGTAGGAAGCCCCAGTGGGGATTGCAGAGAGGAGGCCATGTGACAATTAGTTGGTGGATTGGGCACTTGTCATGTTCTGCCAATAAGTGCTAGATAGTGCTCAGACCAGGTGATCACCCTATTCGGACCAGGAGCTCGACTTGTTCGGTCTGTTAAGACTAGATGCTCGATATGTTCAGTCTGTTCGGACCAGTGCTCAACTTGTTCTTCATGCTCAGTCTGTTCTGCATGTTTGACCTGTTTTGTCTATTTAGCTTGTTCGGACCAACTGCTCGAACTATTCTACCTATTCAGTTTGTTCCAACTAATTGCTTAACCATTTCAGCCAGTTCGGCTTGTTTTGCCTGCTCGGTCTGTTCAGTTTGTTCAGTCTGCTTGTTAAACCTAGGATTGGATAGCACATCCGCAAGTACTCATGCATCGTGTGCTGAACATTCCCAACCATATAGCAAGTACGTGAACTTCATATCAAATGAGCAAGCTGCCAATATGTTCTGGGAGTTCACACCATTCCTATTTCGATACATCGTAGGATTTGAAACACCAATCGGTGTACAAGGTATATGAGTACCGTCAATTGCGCTTACACAGTCCTGAACAAGGATATTGAATTGTTCATATTATAAAGAAAAACAATGAAAGATATTAATAAAATCAGATGTAAAAAAGCCACACAACTTACGTTAAACCATGTACAATATCTCTAAAGATTCCGACATAAAAAATCATGCACTTTGTCATAGTTTGGGGGTTTAATGAAATCTTCGTGTAGTGTACATATAGCGTCTATGACATGACTAAAACGCAGTGAAATGGTCTCCCTAGAATTTTGTCATATATCTTGTGATTCTGTAACACCCTGAAGAATTAAAAGAGATTAATTAAGGTAATTGAGATTATTAGTGTGCCTAATCTGGATTATTAATTAAGTATTAATTAATAAATGTTTCTGACATGTGTGAGTTTAAATAGTTCCAAGGTATCTAAATTATTCTCATTAATTTATTTTAAACCAGAAGTGTGTATGGGCGCATTTCTAGACTGCTCTTTTAAAATATTGTACACATGTCATTTTCTTTTCTTTTTCCTTTTCTTTTCTTTTCCCTTTTCTTTTCTTTTCTTTCTTTCCTTTTTCTTCCCGTGCATCTCTCTCTCTCTCATTTTTGTTCCAAATCAAACGGATCTTGAACCAAGGAAAGATTTAAAGAAGTTTTCAACGTCGAGAGAAGGATTCGAGGTAAGATTACTGAAAGAACCTCTCTTGAATCTCAAGTTTTTGAATTTCAAAACTTATTTTTGGTTCAAACCGGATTTTAATGGTTTTTGAGTAAAACTATGGTAGAAATTGGAGATCTTGGGTTCTTTGGACTTATTTTAGGACCTAGAACTCAGATCTAGTGGTTTCCCTTTGAAATATTTTGATTTGGGACTGAGATTTGCAGATTTTGGACTGATTTCTTCGAGCTTCTCTCACGCAGCTGATTCCACCGGTTGACCTGTACGGTCGACCGGATCACATGGAAATCGGTCGACCCATGCGATCGACCGGATTACAGGCTGACCGGTCGACCGGTGTGCACACTACCGGTCGACCGGTAGTGTTGCACTGCTCTGTCACCGGTCGACCGGTGCACACAGGTTTGACCCTATTTGGCCTGAAAAATGTTGTTTTGACCCCTATTTTCGGGGAGAACCCAAATTAGTTTCATTTGGGGACTTGAGATGAATGGATTAGTATCTTTAATCATTGTTTTAAGATTGAAAACCCTTGGAATGATAATTTGAAACATGAAAATGGATTAGGGCACACTAATAGGAAATCTTGGTTGGAAATTGAGATTTGGATTGCTTTAGGAATGAGAATTAATCCTAAAGTGTTGTTTTGCATCAGTGATCGCTGAGGATTCAGACTGAAGGGGCTTGAGGAAGCGGAAGCTGGAAAAGGCAACGCTAGTCCCAGGTTTGATCGTGCGAGGTAGGATTTCTATCCCTTTTCCTTGTGAGCCTGTTTTTAAGAGAAGGTTTGGCCTTGAAAATGTTTTAAAGAAAGGGATTGGTTTGTGAAAGAAAAATGCTTTGAAAACTATGGCTTGATTAGTCATGGAACCTCATGGCTTGTCCAGTCATGGGGCCCGCGGCTTGAGTAGTTCGTGGGGTCATATTAACGTTTTCAGAATGTTAATGAATGATTTCTTAAGCAAAGTGATCTTGTGAACTGGTAAAAAAGTCTATTGCTGTAAGCCTAGATAGGATGCGGAGAGTGCATCCTCAGGGGCAGAACCCGAAACTCGGTCCGGGTAGGCGAGGCACTTGGTTAGGTAAGTAATTTGTACTAATTACTTGCTGAAGCCTGTAAAACAGTTATTTTCAGTTATATCTCCTTTGAGAAAAAGGATGTGAGGTTCCGGTTGTCTGTTAGAACTGAATGTCTTATTTTATTTACTTATTCATTTATTTATTTCCTCGCTCACTTATTATTCATTTATTTATAACGTCTTTGTAAATAACATCCTACTAGGCCTTTTGCTCATGTTTTATGTTTCAAATGTATTAAACCCCTCCCAGGAGACTCTAAGAGCGGTGCGGGGTAGCGGAAGATTGCTACTATTGGATCAAGTGAGGATTGAGTCCATCCTCTTGGACAAATGTAAGAAATTTGAGAAATTATGTAAACTTATGTAATATTTGTATTAACTAGACCGTGGTTGATGTCTGTTGAAATGATTACTTACATGTTCATGTATGTACGATATTGTATGTCCCGTGGGTGGAGCCCTGTGTGTTGTCAGAGGCTCGGGATTTTGTAGTTTAATTTATATTTTAATTCAGTCGAGTGGGGCTCGTCTGGGAATCTGCTTTATTAACCCCTAATCGAGCTCCACATCACCCCCTCCGTTTAGGGGG